ACCTGTAGTAAACTGCTCAAAACATGCATCGTTGAGACAACCCCGCTTCCTCTGAGTTCATATAGTTTTGCCATCCTTGATTTCCTCATCTAGCTAAGTGCTTGGGGACAATGGACAAACAAAATCTGAACTAGCATTATCACTACCCTAGGGATAACACTAAATAAAAGTTATACAGTTTTGCCCAGTGCCAGTGGCTCAAGCCTGTAATCCTAGTTACTCAGGGGGCTGAGATAAGGATCAAGGCAGCCCGGGAAGGAAAGTCCCCAAGACCCTCATCCCCAATAAATTACCAAAAAGCCAGATGTGGAGCTGTGGCTCTAGTGGTAGAGTGCTAGCCTTGAGCAAAAGAAGCTCAGGAACAGCACTCAAGCCCCAGGACCAGCAAAGGGGTGAGGGTGGGAGGGGGTGGGGAAGTCATGCAGTATGATTGATAATAGATGGCTTCCAGACTGAAAAAAAAATGTCTTGTAGAGGGGATGCATTTTAAAAATTAATTTTACATCCTAGGTGCAACTGATCTATTTGGGGAATATAAGAAGGTTCAGAAGATAATAGATATTAGTTCTCTGATACATAAAGCACATATAAATATTATATTACAAATAGTTGCATAACATCCCATGAAAAATATGAAGAATAAGGATCTTCTTTTATATACATTCTAGGTTAACAGATCAGCCTATATCTCAAAAAAAAAAAAAGCAACATGAGAGTAGTATGTTTTCATCTCACTAGCTCTTTCTGACTGCCATTACCCTAATGTTATGAGATCTATACCCAGGATAGGTAACATGACTCTAGTCCGGAGGCTGGCCCAAATAAGGGATGTAAAGCTACTTCAAAACATCTGTGAGTAGGGGATTGGCTACTGGAGAAGGAAATGAAGATACACTGGGAGTGAGGAAATATTTCCAACAGAAATACTGCATTTCAAGGACAAACAGAGATGTATTGTTTGGAAGTGTATGTTTTTACATTGTGGGCCAGCATGGCTTTTAAAAGCCATTTGACCCCTTGGTAACTTCTTACAAGTATCCTGACTTAATTTTTCCTTAAGAATTTGCAAGGAAAAAAATAAGAAAAAAAATTCATGGAAAAATCTGATACTATAAAAATTGGCCTTGGCCCTTTTGTTTTTTTTTTAGCAAGTATGATTTTAAGAAAATATTAAATCAGAATTTAAATGAGACTGTCAATTAGTGACTAACTAAAGAACATATAATATTATCCCTCTTGCCTTCAGAATATTTTCTTACTTTTAAATTGTAACATTTGAACTGCTGGTAATTTGCTACCCGTTCATTTTGTTAAAAAACAAAAACAGCTTTAAGCTAGTCTTCTGCTATTTTATTTTCCCTAGTGAAGTACAAAGCTGATCCAGAGTTCTAATATCTAAGGGCAAATTGTAACTTTTGGCTTTATTTAAACAATGTCAGTCACAGTGCTTCATTGAAAGAATAATAAACGAGAAAGGTGTCAAGTCACAGAGATCTGTGAAAAGATGACAAAAAACAGACAGCATGACAATCTAGCATCTGCCAAAGAACAACAGAGCAACCATCCCAGACTATGGCCATGGTACAAACTTTAAAACACATTAAATTCCTGTTAGGAAAATATCTGATAGATGGTGCAGTTCTTTTCTTAAAAAACTAGAGAAGCATTTATACTTTCATGGGCCTACTTCAACTGTCAAAGGTTGCACATGAAAAAAAATATGTGGAGGTCATCTGATTATATGTTGTTTTCACAACCCTCCTGAAAGGTAATGAACATGTGGCTGCTATGTTTAGTACTTCAGTATTTTCCTGCAAAGAGCTTGGTGGATATCCATTCACATTCATCATTGCCACAGGACTTTGCACCTATGTCAGTATTAAGTTGTGTTAAGAAAGGAAAAATACCAAGGCACAAAAGTATTCCTAGGGTTTTACCTATGACTAGCCAAAGATTTTTGATATAAAATCTTTTTTCTAATCTCTTGTTTCTAAAAAAGAAATTCTAGTACTACAAAACCTAGAAAGTCTGCCCCTCAGTGTGGCATGTATGGGTGCTAGACTTCAGAGATTAACGGTAGGGGCTGGCCCAGTGTGTTGGGATTGGGTTTAGATAGGACACAGACACCTGTACTGCTATGGCAGGAGAAGCTAAGATGGGGAAGACCAAGTCACACTGGAAAAGTGGGCCTGGTTTCACCAGGACAGAACACCTAATTTTACCTAGTTACAAATCAAAAGCAAGGTGACATCTCTGAAATGTATTTGGGGGCTTGGAATCTAAAGTTCTGCTTCCCAGTGTAAGCATGTTTACTGGCCCTAAATTGGATGTGCTATATTCTGTACAAAAAAAAAAAGATGGAATTTTTCCTTTCATGGTTTACATTTCTCTTCTCAAATAGGGATAAGTTAATAAGTTTCTACTGCTTTGTATTTGAGAACTTAAAAGTTAAACGAGCTAACTTTTTTTATTGTATTTTGGTGCATGAAAAGCCTTTATATACAAATTCTCCAATTTGTTTTCCAGCTTAAATTCATGGTTCAGTTTTGATCCAGGAAAGCCAGATGCTTTCATGAGAAACTGCTTCTTCATTTGAAGACTGTGAAAATCACAAATGCTGTTTTGTTTTGTTTAAAAGCTGAAAAAACTATCTTGGGACAGTTTGTTTAGGGATGGGACATAAGAACCTTTGTAAAGGAATAATTTAGTCAATAATCATTCATATTCTTCTTAGCCAGCATATGATGTGTAGCTGTGCTGGTAAAAAAAAAACAAAAAACAAATCCCACATAAAACAATTTTGAGATATTTATTCCTTCCTAAAAGAGGGTTTGCTAAGTAAATATCTACTTCATAAGTAAATATCCTACTTCATTATATATGAGAATTTGTTCCAGTTTAAAATACTATTTGTTAACTTAACTATAAGACGCAGTGCAGAGTAGAGAAAATGAAACAATTACTGACCCTAAATAGAGCCTGTATATCATGGAACTGAATTTTCAAAATGAAAAAGGAACTTATGATGAAAGGAGAAAAAAATGAATAAGAAAATCAGGCTTATCTGCCTTCTTGGACAAGTATCCAGGCACTTTTTACATGCGTAATCTTGAAGTTATATGTGTAGCATTTTATTGTTATGGAATTTATCTCCTTCTTGTTGAAATATGTAAGCTATAACAATTTTTAAAAATCTAATGGTTTTGGGAAACTGAGTGCACAAAACGTTATATAACCAGTTGGTTTTGAACTTTCAAGTCAGACACTAGTTAAGGAAATAATATGACCTTAGCCAATGGGAAAAACACCAAGCTAGATTTCTCCCAGCTGTGTTTCTCTCTCTGTGGCCTTCATAACTTCAGTAGAAGTTCAGTGTATTTAGAGGAAAAGACGGCCAGGAGAATCAAAATTATTAAACCAAAAAAGGTCAATCTTCAAATTAAGTGTTGGACCAGGCTCCCTGCAGAATAAAGTTTATCCCTTCCAATGTCCCAGTGCTGCAACACTGTGACTGACCAGTTACAATTCAAATGGAGCTGATATCACACGTAATTTCAGCCATCCTGCCAGGGGAGTGAGTAAAGGAAAAACACTCACTGGCTTTGAAACATACAAATCAAACCATTAGTGTTTTCTTACCATTCCATTGGATTTCCAACTCAAGTTTATGGTAACTACAAGAGATAGGAAAAATCTTTATAGGAGAAATATCCTTGGGTTTAAGTTAAAAAAAAAAAAAGAGGGCCAAAGAATTTTGACAAAATTCCTTCTCATGAAAAGTGACTTTGCCTTTGAAGTTCTTGTGTGATCCATATTGAAAGTCAAACACCTTAATTCATCCAGCAGTAGCATAGAAGATTCAATAACATGATATAATAGCCTTACTTTTTTCAGATTTTCTGAATCAATAATCCAAAGTTCCCTTAAACTTTCAGGTCTAATTGAACTAATGTAATTCTCTTTATTTTTTGTCCTGTGCCTGTCCTGGGTCTTGAACTCAGGGACTGTTGTACTGTCTGTCCCTCAGCTTTCTGGCTCAAGGCCAGTACTCTAACAGTGGAGCCACAGCTCCACTTCCATGGGTTTGCTGCTTTATTTTGAGTAGGGAGTGTGTGGTTAATTAGAGAAAAGAGTCACATAGACTTTTCTGCCCAGGCTGGCTTTGAACAACAGTCCTCAGATCTCAGCCTACTAAGTAGTTAGGATCATAAGTGTCAGTCACCAGCACCGCGCAACTGTTTTCTTTTTTCAATAACTATTGATATGCTATTAAAGGTTCAGATCAGTTCTATTTAAACAGATGGTTTGAAGTCTTTTCTGATGTATAAAGGGGTTTAACCTTTATCTTTAGATTTTAAATAAAACCTGTTAATTTTATCCCTCCTTTTCTTTTCTGTTAGGAATGTAGGCTCAAGAACTAAACTATTATTTTGTTACTCACAACACTAGCAGAGGTACTATAACAACTTCTCAATATCCTAAATACTGAAAAATACCCTCCACTAATTCAGGGTCTCTGGAACTGCAGCACTGAAATTGAATAGGCACTGCTTATTCAAAAGAGCTCCTCCCTTTACAACCTCAGAATGATCATGGATGAACAAAACAAAAACTGTTTAAGGTTATCTAATTCAGACTTTTTCTAGACAGCCTAAACATATCACCCTATTTTTATGTAATTCATAATATTAGACATACTTTGTGACAAGCACACCTGTTTTGTTATCTTTTTTCTCCCTAGCACAAGGACTACCATAGGTTAGGCACCCAAAAAAAAATTGAAATCAAGAAAATATAAAATGTGTGCTGTACTTTCAGAGGTCAGGCAGTTCTTATTTTTAAACTTTTTAAATATGAAACATCTCCATTTTCTACAGTAATTATTGAATTGCATACCTTTAAATGTAGTAGGTTAGGAAAACATATCTTAAACAGAAATAGAAGCACCTTCAAAAAATGAGAGAAGTCTATTTTAACAAACACAAGGGTAACACACATTATTACTAAGGAATTGCTTTATTGTCCTTGTCTCTGTGCAGTCTTTCTATTATGAACCAGTAGGACTGAGTTTGTAGATATTTACCATTGTTCTACATTTGATTTAACTCTTTCTCCACTGGTAGATGAGCAAGCAAAAAGGATAAGGTCTTAAAAACACTTTGATGTTGAGAAGAGCTGGGATGTAAAAAGCAGGTGGATAGTACCAAATTCTACAAGAGCTCTTGCAGAGTGAACCTCACAGACTCAGGAGTTTGGCGCTGTAACCTTGGTCACATTAAATGAAAGATGGTCCAGTATATGGCCATCTTTGGGATATGTGGGATATTTGACAAAAAGACAAATAAATAAACTGTGCTCTGAATTCTTTACAGTACTCTATAATTCAGATATTATTTATAAATTCTTTATTGCTATTAAAAACGGATGATTAGAAATCATTTTAAGGTACTTCCTATGGTAATAAGACTGCTAGATGATGGACATTAACAGTCCTGAGCATTTACAAAGAGAGTTAATATGACATATGCAAATCTCCATGACATGTTACAACACATGATAATTAATAAGGGAGAACGCATTTGAAAAATTAATTGTATATAAATGCTCCCTGAATTTAAAGTGCTGGCAACTTTTGCCTAAAGGAGAACTCATTTTTCTTCTTTTAGCCAGTAATTTTTGAAAGGCATCAATTATAAACCCAAGTTTTGGTCAGGAAATTGTAACTGACCACATTTTATAAAAGGGAAATACAAAGTGAAAATATATCTTTCTCTATTGGCATGTTGCCATTTAGTTAGCTGCCTATCATTCATAAGTTGCTATTACTTTGGTAATATCATTCACTTTTGGTTAACTTTGTCATTCACAAAGACTTAAGTATATTTTCATTTTAGTCAACATTTGGCAATAGCAAAGAGCCAAAGCCACAGGTATGTATGTTAGACAATCAGGTCCAAATGGCAGCAAAGGACAGATAAGCTATTATTCTTAAAACACTCAAATAAAATAACTAATTACATTTTGCTTTTTTTGCTCTCATATTCGTCCTTCTTGGATTGTGAGCTTGTTCTACTCAATGGTAAATTTGCAACATCTCCCTTGATTGAAGCTGAGTCTGGAGTAACAGTTCTTTTGGTAAATGCTGGCAAAGCTAGAAGAAAAGAGAAATATAAACCAACATGAATGGAGAACCCAGGCTAAAAGATTAATTTTGTAAAAAGAGTTAATTAATCATGGTTTGTATGTTAGTATCTAGAATTAAGATTTATATGAACAGACCTTTAACATAATTGTGTATTTTAAAAAGTAATATATTTGTACGACTATAAAACTGAATTTTTAAAAAAAATTGAGAGCATGTGGGTGTGCAATGTGGGCTTTGTCAGAATCCAATGATCTAAACATACACGCAGAGAGACAGAGAGACAGATAGAGAGAGAGAGAACAACAGAGGGAGAAATCTTAAGGGCTTCTTATTTATGGAATCCTCTTTGCTACATCCTCTGGTTTATTCAACATCTCTGGCCATAAAAAAAATGCAAGAAATGCAAATCAAAACAATGATATTTCACCACCCCAGTCACTATGGACATGGTCAAGAAAACTAACAATAACAGATGCTGGCAGGGATGTGGTCAAAAAATGGGAATATAAACTTGTTCAACCACTATGGAAAGCTTCTCTATGACCCAGCAATCCCACTCCTGGGCATTTATAGAATAGACACAAACAAGGCCAGACCAAAGCTACCAGCACAATCACATTCAATGCAGCACTGTTTATCACAACCACAGCCAAGATGGAGAGTCAGTGCAGATGCTACTCAGCAAATGAATGGATCAAAAAAATGTGATGTGTATGTGTATGCGTGTGCACACACGTGTGTGTGTGTGTGTGTGTGTGTGTGTGTGTGTGTGTGCTGGAACTCTATGCTTTTTTCGGTAGAAAGATATTGTACCATTCATAAAGAAATGGAAAGACTTGGAAAAAGCTATATTAAGTCAAGTAAGCCAGACCCAAAGGAACATATGTTTCATGATTTTCCTCATTTGTTATAACTATAAAGTGCCTACAAGCTAACACACTGGATGGTAAAAGACAAAAACATATACTAGGGCATGATAAATTATACAAGACTCTAGACATTCACATAGTGAAATCAAAGGAAGATATTCGTAGGAGAGGATCACAAAGGCTTAATAGCTATGTGCATATGATCATATAAAATGATGCTTATTGAAATGAACTCCAAGAAATGGAAACAAGAGATTTTATGTTATTCTACTTATTGTTTGTTTTTCTCTTTTGTTATTGTTTTGGATTTCTGTACATTTTGTCTTGTATGTTTTTCTGTTTGGGGGAGTGAAGGGGGAGCAGAGAATGGTGGGACAAAGGGTGAACAAATGCTCACTAGACACTATGTTGAAAATGAACTATATACCTTGTTGGGGAAGAGGTCAGGAGGGAAAAACTGAGAGAAATAGAGGGAAAAAGTGATACTGTTCCAAAAGAAATGGACTTATTACCTGAATTATGTAACTATAACCGCTCTGTACATCACCTTTACAATAACAATAAAATAAAACTTGTATTTTAAAAAATAGATCTGGCTGAGCAGTGTGGCTCATGCCTGTAATCCTATCTACTTGGGAGGCTGAGATCTGAGGATCTTGGTTAGAAGCTAGCTTTGGCAGGAAAGTTCATGAGACTCTTATCTCCAATTAAGCACCAAAAAGAGGGGAGGGGAGGGCTGGGGGTCTGTGGCTCAAGTGGTATTGTGCTAAGCCTTGAGCACAAACGCAGAGTGTGGACAGCACCCAGACCCTGAGTTTAAGCCCCAGGACTAGCACATACACACAAAGAAAAAGGAAAGAATTTAGCATCAGGGTTAATTCTTTTTCTACTTTTACATTTCTTTTTCTGAACCCAATTGTTGATGTGAAATCTCCCCTCCAGATTTTGTTTGTTTCTTTGTTTATCCCTTAGTCTTTTCCATCTGGCAAAATGTTATACCCACCCACTTCAGGTTCTCAAATGTTAGGGTCTTCTCTTTCTCTATCCTGCCTGGCTCATGCATCCATTTCAGTAAGTTCTGATGACTTTGCCTCCCAGGGCTGCGGAGCCCTCCTGCTTCCCATCCATCCCCCTTACTGTTACCTTGCCCAGGTCACCATTTTCTCTCTTCTTATTCCTACCTTGATCTCTTACTAATTCTTTCTCCATGCCCTAGCCAAATTACCCTTTTAAAAAGTAAAGGAGCCTATCAGTTAGCTCTGTGCCTGGAACGAACTGTGAGAGCCTCGAGCTCCCGGTCACCCTGCTCCCTGACCCTATCTATTCAGGCTCCGACCAGCTCAGGCACTGGTGTGCCATGCCACGTTCTCAGTATTGGTGTCTACTTCTGGTTCTCCTCGGGTCACAATGGCATCTGACTTCAACTCTCCATTGGAGTTGATCTGGTTTGTTGGCATTGTTTTTCTGTTCTTTCTTTTCTTTCCAGCTCTCATGGCTCCGTTTTCTAACAGTGTTAAGTATCTTCGCGGGACTGCAGGTCTTTGTGACAAGAGTCTGCCTGCAGATGCCAGTTTTCCAATAAAGACTTCCCAAAAAAGGCCTCTTTAAAAAGAAAAGAAGTAAACCAGTTTATGATATTCTCCTGCACAACCTCATAATCGCTGCCTTCTGGTGAACATAGAATAAAATCAGAACGTCGGCTTGTGGCCGCATCCTCACTCCATCTCTCCAGCACACCATGTCCCTTCTTTCTTTGGGCCTTTGCGCTTTTTACTCCTGAAATCAGAACATCTCTTCTTATCCGGATTTCACCAGCTGGTTCTTCTTGCTACTCAGGTTTCAGCTCAACTGTGGCTTCTTCAGAGAAGTATCTTTTGATTATTCATTTGAATTAGTTGTTTGGACTTCGAGTATCAGTGATACCTTCCAACCCTGTAGCACCAAATGGCATTTAAAATTATTTGCTCCCTTGCTCACTACCTGTTCCTCCGTCAAGTCAGGTGTCCTTGTCTATCTTATTCATAACTGTGTCCTCTAGAACTGAGCACAAAGCCTTATGCTCAACCTCTCAGTAAATATTGGTGGGAGACATGAATACATGTAGGGTATTTTTTAGAAAATGGAAGTTTTCTAGATCTCTCCTAGGGAGCACTACCAAGTATTTTGTCAAATCATAATAAACAGAACCCAATCATTTAGGAATATCTAGGCTTAATTGGTCAGCGAAAAACACTTAAAATATGGCCATATAAAATGAACCTGTAATATGAGATAGACAAACGATGCAAAACAAATAACCCTTTAATGAGCAAGAAGCTGTTTTTTGTACCTTATCAGTACCTTGAACATAAAGTAGGCAATTTACCCCACAAGTTTGAGGAGAGATTCTTTAATAAGTGTCTATTCACAGTTAATCATGGAGCCCTTCAAGTATACTATAGAAATAAAAACAGTATGCTATTCTCACTGTGAAAAAATGAGTTTTCATTCAGTGGAATTAAACTCTCACTAACGGCACTTCAAAACACAAGTTGAAAATGCTGACTTTCCTTTTTATAGCAATGTAAACTGAGCTAAGGAATAAAATAGTCTTCTAACTCCTATTATATTCTGAAATAACATTGTGCCTAATAAAGAATCTTTTTAGGTTTATTCACTTAATAAATGTTACCTTTTAGAATAGTTTTAGATTTACAGAAAATTTGTGATCTGCATTTATTTTTAAATTTTTGATCTGGAGATACTATTTCTACAGAGATTAAGCATGTTCATTTCAAAGGACTGCAGATTTCGAAAAGCTACAGATTGCTACAAACGTCACTCAAGTCTAGACAGGCCCCAGCCCTGAACGGGGAGACCTGTCTTGGGCTTGTGTTCCTTTCCTCTGAAAGGAGCTAAACATGGAGACCAGTGGTCAATTGCTACTTATAAAATGTAAAAATGACAGTTTCAAAAGCTGACATTATAAGTTTCTCTTACTAAGCCCCACTGTCTTCAGGCTGAAGGTAATGGAATCCAGGGCTTCTAAAAGAGTGTCCTGACTCATGGCCATAACTTCTAGCAAGCCAGGATAAATTTGCTAGTGATCGTGGCTTTAAATAATGGATTTCTGTGTTCCTATTTCCAATGGTAATATAAACTTACAATTTATACATTTCTTCCCTTCTTCCTGGCAGAAGGAATCTACCTTTTCATGAATTGACCTGAACTACACAAAGCTGACATAAATTACTTCTTAAAACAAACTTCCATTAATGCTGGATCATTTCAGAGACCACAAATTATGCAATATTTTCCCATTTCCTTTGTTTTTTCCATGGTCAGTGATTCTGTGCTGGAATTTGGTCACAGCTTGACAGGGCACCTAAGTCAGCAGAATGAACACCTCAGCATCCACAGTATGGACACAAGAGCCTCAGGTGGTGCAGATTCCAACTTAAATAAGAGGGTGCCTGTTCTGTGGACCCCCAAACTAATGTCTGCCTAAAGGTCCACAGTTCTCTCCTCGTCTAGTGTCTACACAGCACCAAAATGGCTGGAAACTCCGAAGTCCTGCTTTCATATTGTATTTAGACAACACAAATGTTAAAGTTTTGCTGGTGGGACATTAAAAACTGGCGATTTCTTAGCCACATTTATCTTCCTAACATTCATTTTTAGCCAAAATGTACATACACCAATCAAAACAGAAGTCTCTTATTCCATCCTTGTAATCTTGTAATTCCTCAGCGGACTCTCATAGCTCTATTTTTCTGAACTTTGCTCCATTTTTGTGTGTGAGAAAAAAGTCTATAGTGCTACTTTCTGTTTATAATTTTTAGACATTATCCACACCTACCAAGTTCTCCTCACCCACCCTCCCAATATAGTGACACCTGAACTTTAGCTATGTTAATACTGAGTGTGTATATTTGTAGGACAATATAAATACAGCCCACATAAACCAAGTAGGTAAACTGTGACAATGTTGCTTCATGCTTTATTCTGGGTTTAGCCACTCATCCATGTTTTTATTTTATTTTAAACTGTTTTTATTCCTCTATGGCTAATATTTCTAATAGCACAATTAGATCTTTCATATATCTTTTTGTTAGCATTTTTTCTTTTTCCTGAGTTGTCAACTGTATCAGATAATCTGACAGTTTTTTTAAAAACAATTTTCCCAATGGAATTTCTTCTCCTTTCTTTCTTCATTAAGGGAGAATTTAAGAACATGAGTACCCAGATTAAAGGAACTACACAAGTAGGCAGAAGAATGAATAAAACACAACCCCACTGGGACACCAAGGCCTATAATCACAAAAGCACAGGGTTAAAGAGATATACTCCTAAATAGTCCCATCACTTTCAGGTCAGGAGTGAGAGGGTTGTAGAGTAAGAGAGGGAAGAAGTTCACATCAAAGAACAAATCAAATATGTGGGCTTTTTTTTTTCCACAGCAACATTTGATTTTTGAAGATTCTGAAATGCTATATCCAACTAGATACAAGCCACACTGAAGAGTGTTGCTACAGCAGAACAGCAGAAGGTTTATGTAGCTACAAAGCACATGGCAAAATGATTAGGACAGGAAAGAGAAAATGCAAACCTTTTGGAATGACATAATTGTGATATAATGCCAGCTAAATCACTTATCAGAAATAAATAAATGTCTACTAAATGAAACTCATGAATATAAATCTGCAAAATAAGTGCTATCACCCTTGCATTTGACCTACTTCTTTATTGCTTATTTTGCTTAGTATTTTATAGCAATATAGCTACTTTTTTTTTTTGGTTGGTCATGGGCTTGAACTCAGGGCCTAGGTGCTGTCCCTGAGCTCTTTTGCTCAAGGCTAGTGCTCTACCACTTTGAGCCATGGTTCTACTTCTAAGTTTCTGGTGGTTAAATGGAAATAAGAGTCTCACAGAGGACTTTCCTGCCTAGGCTGGCTTTGAACAGTGATCCTCATATCTTAGCCTTCTGAGTAGCTATGATTACAGGCATGAGCCACCAATACCCAGCTAAAGAGCTACTTTAAATGACAAAATTATCTCTTGTAATGTACATAGCATAAACAAGAATCCATTAGATAATGCTTGAATTACAATCTCTTCAGAAGCAATTCATGTGTTCACTCAGCTAATATAACTGAGTGTTAATTGAGCTTTTACTCTGTGCCAAGCAATATGTGAAAGGAAACTGGTGAAAGACAAGCACTAATCCTATTTTACTGAGTTCACTCTTTGGTAGAGGGAAGACTCTGTAAACAAAAGGTCACTCAAATAACAAGAACTTATATAATTATTATTCTGAGAAATGTTTTAAAGGACAATTATAGTTTATGGTAGGTAGTTTTACTAGAAATCACCTTTAAAACTGTAAAGTCTAATATCTTCTTTAAGAATAAGTATAGCAGAGGAGGGAAAAGGACACATGGATAACTTGGTTGAATGGACTCATAGCTGGATATTGAAAAAGACATTTTAACAACATTCAAAGTATTCACATAGTGATAGCTAGTGGGCATTAGTACTTTTTGCAAAGATTCCTTATTTCTGAACAAGTATATGTAGGTATCTTCTTTTTCTTGATAATTTGAATTTTATTATAAACTAACTTTCTTTACTTACTCATCCACAATTAGTAGGAATCGCCAAACAAATAACTGGTTTAATTAATATTTTTACTTTGGTGATTTACTTTAAGATTGCTGAGAAGTTTAAGGTCTAAAGAAAGGAACCCCATCTATATTTTACTAAATGGGGGAGGGGCTATTATTAGTGTACTTGGAGAGATTATTTGTGTGACACATAATGAAACTGTTCTCAAACTTGTAACATGAATCTTACTATCATGTACTGGCTTTAAACCTTTTTCCACGAATTGCGTTTTCTTAAATCTAATTTAAGATTGGTAGAAGACTTTATTACTTACAGTTGAAGTGTGAAAATCGAGGACTAGACAGGAACCGACCAGAATCCTGCCAAGACAATGAGTGATCTAACCCAGGACCATGGGAACTTGCTAAGAACCTTCTGTCATCCTAGGGAAGAAAGTGTACAGTTCAGCTCCTTTGATACCAAATGTAAGGATGGAGAGCTATTTAGATGTGCTGAAACTCAAACTGAACTTTCATATACAGACTACACAGAACAGAAACATTTGAACATGACTGTAAGCCCTTTAAAGATAAAAACCCGTTTACAAAAACACATTTAAAAATGGAAAGAAATCACTCATTGCTATGGAGGCATGCCATATTTTGTTCTAATCCTTTTATTTCCCTCTCTATGAATAGGATTTATTAACAATCATAAAACATTGTGCTATTTACATTTATACATTTGTAAACATCATGGAAGTCATCCTGTTACCTTAACCTTCAGCCCAAGGTTTCCTCACATACTATCTAGTAGCTAGGCTATGCTTTCCTCGGCCATTAATTTACTTGGCATTAAGGTGATTTTCAGTGTTTTACTCCTATAAATAACACTGTGAGAAGTATTTTTAAATAGAGAACCTTTCCATCGTTAGATTTAATCCTTAGGACAAGTTCTCAGGTGGAAATATTGAGTCAATAAAAACACAATTTGATGTTTTTAAATACATGCACCTAGACAGCATTCCCTAATGATTATATTACTCTTTGTACCTAGTTAATAATACATAAATAAAAATGAAGAAGCAAAGGTCTCATGTTGTATCCATATATCTTCCATAAATCTCAGCTAAAAATGAGGATGATAACTTTATGAATAGAGTTAATACAGAAAATTTTATGAATAGATTAAAATTGGTACTTTACTAAATAGTGAAATTAAAATTATAATTTTTCTCCCGCAAGTTTTATAATTTATTTTTTTTTCATTCGTTCATTCAAGAATAATTTGGGGGGCTGGGAAGGTGGCTCAGTGGTAGAGCGCTTGCCTTGCATGCTCAAGGCCCTGGGTTCGATTCCTCAGCACCACATATGCAAAAAGAAAAAAGCCGGAAATGGTGCTGTGGCTCAAGTGGTAGAGCGCTAGCCTTGAGCTGAAGAGCTGAGAGACAGTGCCCAGGCCCAGAGTTCAGGCCCCATGACTGGACCCAAAAAAAAAAAAAAAAAAAAAAGAATAATTTGGGAGAAGCCTGGGTATGCTGAATCGCTCTTGCAATCCCAGCTACTATGGAGACTAAGAATGGGTGGACTCAGTACAGGTTCGCCTAGGAAAAAACCTGAGAACCTGTCTCAAAAATATAGAGAAAAAAATCTGGAGGCATGATTCAAGTAGTAGGGTCCTTGTTCTGAGTTCAAACCTTCATACCATACAGACACACACACACACACACACAAACACACATACAAAAATTAATAATGGTGACGAGGGGCAGCTGTAATGTGCTGGGCAAAAAACAAATAAGATATTGAGGAAAATGTTAGGCTTATAAGGAAAAAAGGGCATTAAATGAACTATAAAATATATGATATTATGAAAAATTATAATAAATATAAAAAGAACAGTAAATAATAAGACCAAATTTCAGTTTGAAGTCAAGATTCCATAGAGGTGATATTTGGAGAAATACAGGAAGCTAAATATAAACAACCAGTTGAAAACTTATAGGTGGGAGAAGGGTAAAAAGGAAGCAAAAAATGAGGTGAGAGGTGATGGACATCAGCTATGGAAGGAGGGCCGTACAGTTAAGCACACTGAGCCTGGTGGTGATAAGAGTAAGGCCCAGAGATGGCTAAGACTCTGTTCGGGACTTGGGATCTTACTTTTTAAATACAATCAAGAGTTTTCAGATGAGGAAGGATAAGCACCGATTTGTACTTTTCCATGGTTACTTTGAATAAGGAATATTGGGGACTGGAGAGAAGAAAAGATGATGAATGTTGCCAAAGATTTTACAGGCAACAACTATGGGTTAGGAAACTCAAAATATAGTATTTTCTTAACAATTCTTTTATCTTTAGCATCAAGATTTATCATTATTACTGTCTTAGAACAGAATAAACTAGTTAAGCTACAATTCTCTGCAAATATTCTATTGGATGAAAGAAATTGTATTTTCTAATATTTTTCACATGCATCTTTTCTTTCTATTCCATGTCATACTTGGGTTCTTAAAGCCATTCAAACATGACTACATTTCTTTCTTTCTTTCTTTTTTTTACTCCTTTTTTGGTGGCAGTCCTAGGCAGTGCTGAACTCAGAGCCTGGCACTGTCCCTTAGCTTCTTTGCTCAAGGCTAGCACTCTACTACTTAAGCCACAGAGCCACTTTCAGCTCTTTGATGGTTAATTGGAGATAAAAGTTTCATGGGCTTTTCTGCCTGGGGTGGCTTTGAACTGTGATCCTCAGATCTCAGCTTCCTGAGTAGCTAGGATTATAGGTATGAACCACGACCTGTGCCTAGCCTAAATAATGTTTTAACTACCAATTTCACTTACATTGTATGATCATTGTGTATTCTGGATCAAAGATGAGGCAGACAGTACCTATCCCACCAGCATTCACTTAGTGTTACACTAGTGTTTTCTTTAAATGCTCTTAAAATGTATACCATGTACTCTAAATCTCTGTGTAAAAGGCTCCAAGAATAGCAAATTACTTGGGACTGAGAGAAAAACAGAAAAGTATTTGCATGACAGTTTATTTATAATTTCTTATGAAAGCTGGGCTACAAATGAGATGATTGGGATACTGCAGGGATAAAGCTCCCTTAAATCTACCATGGTGGCTGGGAAAAATCCAAGCATTATCTATAAACTTGGATGAAACATACACTAGTGACATATTTTGTAGTCATTAAGAAAAAGTAATTATATATCACCCACAATCCTGAATTACCTGGAATTTTTATGCACAACATGTTTTATAGAAGCTAGTGCTGCAGATTTAAGTCATAAATAGCTGACTTGAGAAGGAAAATGCTAAAAGCCATTAATTGCTATGAGCAAGGCATAAACAAATCACTGAGCAATTCAGTGAGGGAGAATTGACTTCTGAGAACAAAATATGAATTTATACCACACACATGCTCACAATGAACAAGTAAGACAAAGGCCTCTGGCAGGTTCTGCCTTCATAAAGACTGCTGAAAGCCATCAGCAGCACTTCCTCACCTGCCTCATCTCAGCTGGTAAAAACATCTGGTCTTTAAAGTGTAGTTGCATACCAACTCTTGAACTAGAAGTTAAAAGTCAGGACTCTCCTTTCAAGGGAGGAAGAGTAGGAAAAATATGCCTTGTGTGATTTTACTAAAAAAAAATCCAGTGTTAATTAAAACCATCTATTTAGGATGGGTTAAGGTAACAAATGGAAATTTCTTGGATGAACCATTTTCCTCTGTGAATGAAGATTAGCAGTTCTGTATTGCTGGCTGACTTTTTGGACATTCTCTTCTATTTGAAACAGCTGGGACAGCAAGGGAGACGGATGTCCTACCGAAACACAATTAGGCTGGCTGGAAGAGAAGCCACGACATGCTTCTGTTGTCTACCCAGAGTCAGGGGGAATGTGTTGTACCCAGCTTTGAATTAAATTCTGCATATAAACTTTTAGATCAGGCTTTTTGTTCAATTAGCCAGGTCAGCTTACCACACTATTACATTATCATATTTTCTATTATATTATGCTTGAACCATTGTGAAGGTGGCTCTGCTCAAACTCCCAGCAGGTTTCTAGAAATGTGATGATTTTTGCCTAGCTAGCTGCTATGGGAATAAATAGGAGATCAGCCCTGGCCTGGTCAGCCTTGGCCATCAGACTTGAGTGGTGTGGTCACATGGGCTGTTGTGCTGCTTTCTTGCAACAGCAACAACATGAAAAAAAAGCCTGTTGCCAACATGGCTGTACTATTTCAATACTGGTTATTTGCCTGTCAACAGAGTTCCACAACTAGAATTCTAATGAGGATCTGAAACCCAAGATGTGGATTAAACTCTTCCCTGAACTTCATCATCACAAGCCAGAAGTCTCTCGCGCATGTTTGTCTCCTTTGAACTCTCAAAGTGGATGTCCCTCAATGAGCAAATAGATCACGACAATGAGGTTATGTTCACAATGGAATTTTACTCATCCACTAGGAAGAATAATATATCGTTTGTAAAGAAATGGAAAGACTTGGAAAAATTATGTTAAGTGAAGTGAGTCAGGCCCAAAGAGACAAATGTTGCATGTTTATCCTTACTTGTGGAAGCTAGAATTAGCTTATAAACTTATAACTAAATACATTGGGTGGTATGCATGTAGATGCAGATTTTATTAACTGAAATATGGTAGATTCAAGGGAGAACTCACATAGTGTAATTCATTAGAAAGGCAAAGTCAAAGTTCAGCAAAATAAAACACCAGGAAGCAGGTATTTGAAAGGGGTCAGGTGGGGTCAAGAAGACGGGGGAGGGACACAGTCAAGAATTCAATGTTAAAAATTAAGAAAAGTGAAGGAAGGGGTAGGTTGGGAAGGATGGATGAGAATGTTGTAAGAGGTGACACTGACCAAGATACATTGCATTCATAAACTGTTTTGTTACATGGCGACTTCTCTGTACAACTACTTAAAGATAATTAAAAAAAAAAAAACAGTAAATCCAGCCTAGGCACTGTCCAAATACTCAGACTGAGGCTGAGCCTCTCTGAGCTCTACCACTTGAACCACAGCACTACTTTTGGCTTTTTCTGGTAGTATATCAGAGATAAGAATCTTACAGATTTTCCTACCCAGGCTGGCTTTGAACCATGATCCTCAGATCTTAGCCTCCTGACTACCTAGAATTACAGTTATGGCCACCGGTGCCCATCTCTGATTGGAATCTTATGTGTCTTAAAAAAAAGTTCCAGGCACACAAAACTAGAAATAAGTAAGTTAATATTCCAACAGGAAACTATATGGCCCCAAATAAAATAATGTGAAAGTGGGGAGAATATTCTTAGTTTAAAACTATTCAGAGTTAAATTGGTTTATCTGTCTACTCCACATGGATACTTCGGGATAGTATACATTTTTTCAACACGGTCTCATTTTCTCAGGCTCCAGTGTGTTAGTTCTATGTTTATAAATCAGAAGATCAAGTGTAAGCATGGAGATTACATACCCAGGAGAATAATGACTGAACATGCCAAGTACTGATGGTTACCTGACCATCCATTTCACTAAGGGACTTCATTGCTGACAAGGGAAGGACTAAAACCTTCAAAGAAACTATCACACTTAGCTTGGAGCAATCAAGTGACCAAGCTTCCTGACTCAAGATTTCTTTCTCTCTTCTCTCTCTCCCCTCTGTCTCTGTCTCTATTTCTTTTCTTTTTTCCAGGGCTAAGGACCAAACCCAGGGCCTTGGGCGCGCAGGGTGGGCGCCCTTCCGCTGGGCTAAACCCCCAGCCCCCTCTGTCTCTATTTCTTCAGTGCCAGTAGCAAGACTTGAACTTGAAGCCTCCAGCCTTTACTCGTTTTTTTTTTGTTAATGGATGGTGATGTTCTATCACTTGGGTTATGGTGCAATTTGCCTTTTTTGGCTAGTTAATTGAAGATTGATTTCAATCACTTGCTCAAGCTGTCTTCAAACTCAGCCTCTTGAAAACCTGTGATTACAAATGTAAGCCACTGGTACCCCCAAAGCATGAATACTCATATACAAACAACACAGTGAGTAGTAATGGCATTCCCTTATGGCTTACTTTGCAAGCAGAAAGTTATAAGCATAATCTTTGGATAATCCCACTGCATTGCTGATCTGTTTCATATATAAAAGGGGAGTCTTTAAGGGGAATCTTTCACAATTGCCCTGTGGTAAATCTCAGAGACGGAATAAATATATAAGGAAAATTACTTTGAAGGATTTGCTTCTGTACTTGTCATCTTGGTGCTGTTGAAGAGAATCTCTGTAAGCTTTGTATTTGGAATATCTCCCATCAGTTCTCTCTGATAAACAGCGGAAATCCTAGGAAAAAAAAAAAGGAAAAGGTCTAAACTGGTGAATGAAATTAGAATAAGACAGTATTAATAAAAGTATAAAATAAAAACAAAATCTAAAAGTGTAAATTAAGTAATAGATTCTACAATATGCATTTTGATCAGATATATAGAACAAAAATGGCCACAATGGAGATTGCTATAAAAATGGGTTTATATTGTCCTCTGGAACTAACCTGAAATGCCTAGCATGTGTTAGCTAAAAAGACAAAAGTTTAGATGATAATGAGATGTCCAAAGATGATTGTTAATGACACTATACCACTATTCTGTACTGTTTTTTATATTAGTACTTGGCATCAAAATAATCTTGTTTCCAAAAAAAAGCTACCTTTAAAAGCAAAGATAGTATATTGGAAATGAACTTTACAACTTTGCGGGGCGGGGGGTGAGGGAGAATGAGGGAGGCAGGGGAGGGAAGGGATAGTGGGAGAACAACAAGGGAAGGGGTAACAATGCTTGACAAGAATGTACTCATTTTCTTACGCATGTAACTGTAACCCCTCTGTATAGCATCTTTACAATAAAATAAAATTTAAAAAAGAGCAAAGCCCTTTTCCTTCACTTATCTTTAAACACCAGTCTATATTTTAAGTGTTATATCAGGGAGAATTTTAAATTTAATAATAATAAATAAACCGTTACTATAGCCCATTAGACATTGCTTTCATAATGTGGGAAGGGGAAAAAATAGAGACAACTGATCTTATTATTCAAGAAAAGTATGACAATGTGTCATATAGACACAAGGAAATTTGATCTTATTGAGCACTCAAGCTGGAAGAGTTAAAATTCCAAATATCTCATTTTTATAAAAACAATTAAAAATCGAAGTTCATGGAAATAAAGAATGATTTTCCTGTTGCAGAACTGAGCTGGAACCAATGTCATTGCTTTTCTATCTTATCTAGTATATCATGGGTAAATAGGTGATGGTAAAAGTTGAACTACCATTTATTCCTTCAAAATGGGGTTAAACAAATAGATGTAAAAGAGAGGGAGAGGAAGGAAGGAAGTAAAGGACAGAGGGAGGGAGAAAGAAAAGAAAGAATATGACCACATATAAATAAAGTCAAGTCTATGAAAATAGAGGGGAGTTAGTACTCCCAGTCATATAAGATTACAGTAATTTTGAGAAATAAGATCAAACTATACTATATTTGTGCATGAAAGAACAATAGAATCCATTACTTTGAATATTAGTAAAATCAATATAGTTATAAGATATATGTAAGTAGGAACCAGAGCTAACACTGTTTAAGTCCCTTACTTCATGGGTGAGGAAACAGTCCCTGAGGTGGTAATTAGATGACTGAATCTGGAACAAAAAGTTAGGTCTTCCCATTCTGGTTCATGCAACATGGAACCAGAGTGTTTTAGAGGTTTAGGGGCTTGAAATAGAATCCATCTTTAGTAATATAAAGTTGCATGTATTTTCATTTAAGGTTATACTTAGTTGTTTAAAAATTTATAGAGGACTTTAGATTATATATAGAATAGGTGAGTTTCCAGTTTAGAGGCAACAGGGCAAAGAAGACAGAATAAGATTCTACTTCCAAATAATTTACATATTCCAAGCTTCAGTGACTTCCTCTGTAAATTAGAGAAAACAATACCCATGTAGTGCAATGTGCCCTACAAGGTTAGAAGAAATATAATGAGTTTAGCCACTATTTCCCACATGATGTGTGTATAATACTTGCTAATTTATTCTTTTCCTTTTCTAAGCTACAGGTTTTCTTTTTTAATGTTCAAAGTATAATTGTGAACTCTAAGAAATATTCTCTCTAAAAACTTTACTATGAAAGCCTCTTTATGATTGCCTCTTTATAAAAGCCTCATTAAGATTGAGTTTTGTATATATAAGCTAGATGTGCAGGTAATTACTAGGCCATACGATAAAGAGTAGTAACCTCTTGAGTAATAGAAAATACAACTTTTGAACTGTCTAATGAAGACCGTTGGGGAACAAGGAAGATGTCACTAGGGGCCAAACTTTCTATGATTATGCGGGTGTGAGAGAGGCCATATGTTCCTGTGTCGCATGCCACCTGTTCCCAACACTTCCCTTTGCCTGTCCTTCATTCACTCACCTCAATGACTTCAGTTAGTACAGACAAAGAAAAGGAGAAAGCATGAGTATCCTACTGTGGACAAAGGATTTTCTGAGGATGAATGGGAATTACATGGTAGTGGATGCTGGATTCATAACTGCTTCATAGGGATTTACATTGCAAATATGTAAGCAAATTCATGCGAAAGAATTAATAAACTATACTAGAGACACTTGGTATTATCTTACTTGTAACAGTCTTCATTTCAGGATGTGTCAGCTCAACCCTACATCTCACTCAAAAATTTTTTGGCACTGAATGATCAAAAATTGTCTGGGAGAAAGCAATTTTAAAGATTATATAAACTTTGAGAACATATCAGTGCTTCCAATAGATCTAGCTATTAGTTCCTATGTACTGTGTCCTTAAATAATGTTAGATTAAAAGAGAATCTAAATACAGCCTGTTATATTTTCAGTTATTTTTAATAACTGTGAAATCAAAGCTTATATGGTTGTTAAAGAGAAATTGTTACCATTGGTAAGGTGGGACATAGACACTATACAAGTCATATTAACAGTATAATAAAACAAAAGTGGCGAAAAGTATACATGACAGAAGACATTGTCTGGACAGGACCTATTCTGGTAAGACTGGGTGGCAACGTCATTTGCTATATTATACCTCTTCTTCTCTATAATGTATGTAAGAAAAATTATACCATGGAAACATATTCATACAGCAAATGAACTGGTTTAATTAATGAAATAACTTTTGGTTAGTCTTATGAATAAATAGGATATAGGGTCTAAAACTCATACACCATAGTATAGTGCTCTGATATCTTTAATACCTAGGAGTTTGTGGAGGGAGGAAGGAGAAGGAAGGGTAAAGGAGGGAGGAGAGAGGAGTGGGGGAGGGGAAGTGATGGTAGGGTAAATATAAAGGAAGGTGTAACAATGCTGAATAGGAAACGGACTCATTACCTTGTTCATGTAACTGTAACCCCTCTGTACAGTATCTTTACAATAAAAAATATAGAGAAAAAAAAATTTCTAATCAAAACCTATTGTCAGTGGAATGTGTGAGACCCTTTAATTATTAGGTTTTCCAGAAATCATTGTTAAAGCTTTAGGGGGACAAGGGAGCTTCTAATATTCCATATTTTTCTAATAAATGTTTTGTTATTTTCAGCCCTGACTTTACAAATGTCAATGGAGTCTAATAAGATGGCATTAAGATTCCCAGTGTTCTTTGGTCTTGCCTTCCTTCCTGCAAGTTTCCTGCACATCAGGAAGATGTCAAGTGTTCTAACTCATACACACAGTGAAAGAGACAAGCCAACTCTTCCTTACTCTAAAGTCTTTGAAATCATCCAGGAGGCTCAGTTTCTCAGGCACAGACTCCAGATGGTCCAAGGCCACTCGGGTACTCTGAAAAAGAAAACAAGGAAACCAAACATTATAAAAAATTAATTAATACTTTGAGAATCTGAAGGCCAAAGTTGAGATGTACCACTGGTGGAAACAGATCAAACTATGAACTTGAGTGAATCAAATAAGAACAGGTATTTCAAGATGAATGTATCTTTTTAAAACAGAAGAATTATTTCCTTTCAAAAACCTATGAGATGTATTTGCAAGACTGACAGAGCAAAACTCTTCCTGGATAATTACTTTCAGCTGATGTGCTATGAAACTTTCTATAGGGCATTTCATATTCATATTAATTTAAAAAAACTGCTTCAGTGAACATCAAAAATAAACCACCAGGTAATACTGAGAAATAGAAGAACCTGCAGTTACTTTTCTCTAAAGCAGACTAGAGACCTCAAATACTATTATTAAGAAGAAGACAGTTTTCAACTATTATTTTAGTTAAGAAGAAAATGGAGGACAATTCTCAAAAGATGGAAGAAATATCTGAAAGTAAACATCTAGGACAGGATGAAAAGATTGTGTGATTATAAATCAGAAACTTATTATGCAACCTGTGCTCAGCTGGTCCTGCCATACCCACTGATACAAACATTACCAGGGAAGGATCCAGAAATTAGAATTTCCAGTAAAGGTAAAATAAGAAGTGGTGGAATAACCTGTGGCAAAGACTGTGTAATGTGTATTCTATGCATCTCGGTGTTTGTGGTCCTGTCACAGTTCCAAAATAGGAAGGGAATCACTGTTAGCTTTTGAATTGGAAATACATTTTAGGCTGGGCACTGGTAGCTCATGCATATGCCAACTACTTAGGAGGCTGAGATCTGAGGATACCGGTTTGAAACCAGAAAAGTCTGTCAGAGTCTTAATTAAAATTAATCACACAAAAAAAGCTGTAAGTGGAGCTGTGCTCAAGTGGTAGAGTGCCAGCCTTGAGCAAAAAAAAAAAAAAAAAAAAGCTAAGGGATAGCACTCAGGCCCTGAGTTCCAGCCCTAATATCAGAACACACATGCATGTGTGCACACACACAAAGAATGATCTGTGACTTGGAATTACAGTCATCTTCAGTTAACATCATTTAAAAATCAGTCACACCTATAATCCCAGCTACTCAGGAGGCTGACATGTGAGGATTTCAGTTTGAAGCCAGCCGTGGCAGGAAAGTCCTTATCTCCAATTTATCATAAAAAAAAAAAGTGGAGCTGTGGCTCAAGTGGTAGAGCACTAGTCTCGGGCAAACAAACAAACCATCGTCTCTCCTCTCACTGTGAAACTGGGGTTTGAACCTCACTTGCTAGGCAGGTGCTCTTGGGTTCATGCCTCCCATCCATTTGATGTTCTGGTTAGTGTTGCATAGGCTTTTGTTTCCTGCACTATGAGCACCTGCCTATTTTAGGTTTCCTGTCCCACTACAGACATATACAATCATACCCAGATTCTTTGGACTTTTTGGCCCAGGATGTCCTAAAGCTAGGATCATCCCAGGTTTGGCCTCTCTCATGGCTTAGAAAGAAAGGTGTGCACCACTGCATCCCACTATTGGTTCAAGTCTTATGAACTTTTTTGCCTGGGGTTGGCCTTGAATTACAGTCTTCCTGTTCTTAAGACTCTTAAGTAGACAGGATTCCAGGTGTGAGCCATCGTGCCCCGTCCCCTCCCCAGAGTGTTTCTATTTCTTTAATACGTCTAATTGTGAAAGACTGTAGACAGGAGAGAAGCATTCTTAATTTGTTAACTAGAATAGAAAGTCGTATGCATTATTTCTTCACATTCATAAAGTCTTCTATTTCATGGTCTATTTAAAGGATTTAGTATTTTGTTCTTTCTGCTTCACATTTATATTATTGTTAGTCTTTCTGTGCATGTACTCACTTAAACTGCCACATTTTAAAATGGTTTCATTAAATTTTTCCATGGGTATGAAAAATTCATCAAAATGACATGTTTCTTGAGCCACAACATTCAGGTAGTTTTAGCTACCACATAAGTTAATGTTTATTTAAATAATAAGAACTTTAGATATTCTCAAATTACTGACCCTTGAATAATAAAATATACAGCAATGATCTGATGGTCTTAAAGCAAAAAAAGAAAAATTGTGCATTGAAGAAAACTCTCTTCATAAACAGGCTTTAATAGACTTTTAGTATTAAAACTATTTCATTTTTCATTCTATAATTATTCTTATTTAGAAATAATTCCCTGAACCTGGGTTAAATATGCAAAACTCATTTTGTTCTCAAAATAAGCAAATAATCTCTTTCCTTACTGTGAAAACCCAGCATATTATGCAAATATTTTAAAATTTTTCAATCAACCAAATGACTGCATAAAACCTTTATGTTTTTGCTTGCAAAGTGCTCACATACTAGTTTAGTTGGGCTATTTTATTATACTTTTGGGTATATATTCAAAGGGGCATACCTTTGTGAGTTATCCTTGAAAACTCTTCAGTTCCTTTTTGTTATGCAGTGTTTTTTAAACTCCGCATCCCAACCTGTGTCTTTATAGTTTCTCATCCTTTATTTCAACTGTTGGCTTTGTTTTATATTCCATATAGGTATGACTTCTAAGTACCAGAAACACTCTCAATTGCACAAGCCCTTTGTCTTCATGTTTTTATTCTAGTCAGCTAACAAATGTGGATGTTAGATATCATAGAAAGATCCAAAGATACAGAGAACATATTTTCTGTTGTTCAAAAGCTTTTAACTCACTAGGGTGGACAATGCATATACAAAAGGTGTAAGAATAATACAAAGCAAAAAGTGAATTGCATTTATTCTAAAGAAATTTCATGTTAAAGATCTGAGATTTCTAGGGCATCTACAACCAAAAATATGGGGGAGGGGGAAGAGGTAATGAAGACAATGAGTCCAGGTCTGCAAGAATCTCAGTGCTCGTAATAGAATTTCATGATTAGGTGATATTTTGGGGAGGAGGTTTATTGTCCAGTCTAAGATTTTCTCTCTGTATGTATATGCATAATTAAAATTATCACTGTGGCATATAAAGACTGGAAAGATGCATAATGTTTCATACATTTCTTCTTTTAAAATTGAGATTGGCTAGAGGTTAGTGATTTGAGTCTTATCTACCTGCATTTCATTCCAAGTTAGCTTTTTCCCCAAACTAACACTACTACTGAAACAAGATCCATAGGCAGAAACTTACTCTTCAAAGACTTGTTGAATATAGAAAATTCCTTGAATATCCTGTTAGTTCCTAGGGCAAAATACTCCATATAGAGGCAGGGACCTTGTGTGTATGTGTTTTTAGAAGTTTGTTAATATTTTCTGCCTTATATCACTAATGCTTTAAAGGCGACAGACAAATCCCTATTGGTACAATTAAGGGAACAATTTCTTCAAGTACATTTCTGGATAATGGCACCTGCAAATGACCTGGTGTTTAATTTTTAAAATTCAATTTGCTTGAATAAATGAGATGTTCACAAAAAGATTTAGAAAATGTTTCTTTTCTGAAAGTTGTTTCAGGACATGAAATTTCACACCAAGGTTAAAAACAAATTATACTTCACAATAAAGACTCTATGAATAATCAGAATAACCAATACCATGTATATTTGGTTTATCTCAGAGGATTGGGGAGCTAGACTTGCTTGGCCCTAGCAAGGCCAATTAATCCCAGTTCTTTCTGGTAGAATAACAGTAGTTTAGTCACAAAAATGTAACTCACAATTGCATTTTATTGAATTTAGCAGGCAATTAGATTTTTGTACACCTAGTCTTCTAACAAGCTTGTGAGATGGTGGATATTACCATGAAGCAGTTGAGGAGTACAGATGAATAATGATTCACAGTCAGGGGGTAGCAAAACAGATGCAAATTTAAATAATGTGACTGTGGAAATGACAACATTTTAATTGCCAAAGTATTTTCATGGCAAAACAACTTGAAAGTAACCGGAGGTGCAAATAGTCTTTCACAGAAATTGTTCGCTCAACTCTAACCATCAACACTTGAGTTCCAGACACATGAGTCATATTCTGAAGATATGTTCCCGATGATCTTATTTCAGCAAGAGGTTTTAAGAAGAAACTGTGAAGAATTTCATCTTCCAGCTTATTTATTTATTTATTGGTGTATTGGAGATAAGAATCTCATGGAATCCCCTGCCCAGTACATGGCCTTGAAACACAATTCTCAGATCCCATCCTCCTGAGTAACTAGGATTATATTTGTTAGCCACTGGCACCAGGCACGGAGCTCTTTTTCTTTTCTGTAACATGTAGAAGAGGTGCCTCTAGTGGAGACTGAATGAAGAGAATGGCGGGGTTCTAACAAATTCATGCATTTTGACCTCTTTATTAAAAACTCTGAGGCAAAAGTTTGCTGTTTGATTTATTTTCTCTGGCCTAAGGTCCAGACCAAGTGGTACAGTAGCAGTGAAATCTAGAAATCCTGACTATTATACCCTGTGGCTTTTGCACTTGGTTTTCATATTTAGAAATCTGTTGGGCAAAGAATAAGATGCCAATTTTACTATTCCAAAATTTCAACACACTTCAAACTCTTGGGGAGTGAGAGCAGTTTGTACTAGTCTATACTACAGTTCCCTTATATGTGCTTTGTTTCAGAATGCTAGGACACTGAGTAACACTGAATGACAACATAAGTAGCAGCAATTAGGAATAAAGAGGGCAATGCATTGCAAATCTTAGATTCCTGTCTCCCTTAGAGAAAACTTAAGAGAAGAATTTAACCATAGGCATATTCTAGCACATAGACTTCTCTGTAAAAATGCACATCTGTTTATTTTCTTATTAATACATAACACATTATTTCTTTATAGTGTTATGGAAATCAAGGTATAAATGAAATACTGAAACTACTGAAATTAAAGGTCTGGATAATAAATAGATGTCTATGATTTAAAAAATATGCATATTTTTGGCACAATGCACATGTTAAATAAACAAGATTATGAAGCAGTTTATTTGGGTTCAAAAATGTAATTCTATTTCATTTGGAAA